TATTCGTTGGTTAAACAGTAGCCCAAGAGTTGACGGTGGGTGGTGATGACTAGTTGCCTTCCCTCTAGTCTTTCACTGCTAAATTAGGGACGGCTAGCGCAAATAGCCCTCGTGTAGCTTTGCGCGAAATCCATAACAAACAAACCTCTTAACCGTTAGGCCTACCAACTTTACGATCACATGGAGTTCTTTTTTTTTTTCGATATTGGTTTTATATTTACGTAAGAAATAACTACTCACATATATCACAAACGGTCGATATACTCTTAACCCGATACTGTTCTGCATAAAACAATACCTTACACACTCTTTTTTTCTCTCACACGTGAGCGCGTGTTACAATAGAAAGTCGTTTTTCTCAATTTTTTTTCCAAAATTAAATTCATTGATGCTAGTTAGCATTGCAACTACCATGACGTCACGGTTGGTTCAACGCCAACTGTAAATCTGGAACTCCTTGTTGACATTTCCAAGATGGACGTCAGACGAAAAGAAAAATACATTGGAATTCACACAACGTTGGGAGACAAGTGCAATAAAAAGAAATCTCTGTATCAACACAACATTAAAATAAAATTATTTTATTTAGCAACGCTTCGAATAACTACTCCTCGTTAGGCCTAATTTCATTTCCATGTTAAGCCTGAAGAAGAGCTGTTGCTCGAAACCTTGTAGATGAAATAAATGTGTTTCTATTACAACGCTGCATTAAAAAAAAAAAGATATTGCAGTCTCATTTACACTAAACATGTCCCCCCCCCCTCATAGAATCAGTATTTTTCAAACACAGCGCTTCATTGAAGAAACACCGGAAATCAAATATCATAAGAGTTTACATTAGAGACAGGGCACGCCAATGCTGAAATTCAGCGTCAAATTTTGGAATACGTCCTTTCACAGACGTGTAAATAATATTAAACTTCCAGCTCATTCTTTCGGTTATGCATACTTTAATACCGTCCTTAGGACTAAATTAATAGTTCCTACTTTATTCACTAGGAGCGCTAGCGTAGTTTTCGACCAACTCACCATGCGGTACGGGATTTTTGCTTTTTAAATATATACATAAATCAGATATATATATATTGTTGGCAGTCTGTATCCTCGCTTTACATAAACAGAGTTTATTTCAAATATAACTTCTCCGTAACATTTTACATTGTGATGGAGTTTCTCTTGTAAAAGTATTGTGATAGAGGAATTCCATATAAAAGAAAGTTTGTCTGTTTGTTTGTAATTAAACACAAAGCTACACAATGGGGTATCTGTGCTCTGCCCACCACGGGTATCGAAACCCGGATTCTAGCGTTGTAAGTCCGCAGGCATACCGCTGTGCTACTGGGGGGCATGAAAGAAAGAGGTCTTGTAGTTGGATTATTTAATCTTTAACTGGGAGGGGGGGGTCTATAACACAATTTATTTTAATTAAACATGGCGGAATGTGATTATTGAGTTGATTTTGTAAGATGTAAATGGCAAGATATTCGGCTTCCTTTTTCTTCTTCTGTTTGTAACTAACTTCTGTTTGTGTATCAATTGATTTCAGAACCCAACATGTCTTTGCAACTTCAACCTTCTGCATCACAATGGAACTCCTACTGCACATCACCCTACCCTACCTACCTTACCTCAGCCTCGACACTTACAGCTTCCGACCTAGGCGCTTCGGGACTGTCGTGTCCAGGAGAGGGCGCTGTGGGAAGTAACTTTTCGTGTACGTACGACAACCCTGTTTCAGGTAATTAACTCTGATAAACACGATGTTTATAAACTGATTCGTGTCACCTTGCTTTAGATATCCTGATATTTTTTATACTTTTGAGTCGTAACTGACAAACTATTCTACTACATTTATTTCGTAAATAAAAGAATAAAAAAATGATAGTTAAATCATTCTTTAAACTTATTTTTTATTGTTTTATTTTTAAAGCATCGTGGATAGAGAATATTCCAGAAGCGCCTCCGATGTTAAGTTTACCAATTACGCCACTGTCTACTTTTGTTTCAACCTCACCGTCCAGTTCCTACAGCATGAAATACACTGGAGCAGCAGTCTCAGGAGGCCATTTTACTCCTCTGCAGCAGCGGGACTCGAACCCAAACCTAGCCTTATCATTCCGTCTCTCAGCAGGTCCAGGAGTGAAAGACTCAAGCCCCCTTTTCCCCTCCAGATCGACTGTTTCATCCTCATCATTCTCAATACCGGATATCCGAATATCTCACGAGCAAGAACTATCCAATAGGAATCCTGTAGCCAACATTACAATGGGAGAACTTTCCTCTCCTAGCGGCACGTTGACACAACTCGGCGTGAACAACAATCCAAATTATCCACTGCCTGTGAACCATAACTGGGGCTGTAACTTCCTACCTTCTCCTAGCTATTATGGCAATACGAGTTCAAATAGTTCGCCACCTGGTGGGAGATTCCTAAGTTCTCCGGCAGTCCCTTCACCTTTATTGTATCATCAACCCCAGCCTTTATCTCCCTCGCCACTTCATCTATTAGGGAGCGAAATGAGGTCAATAGGAGATCTTCCCCTAGTTTCTTACCACCAACAACAGAGATTAGACAATCTGTCCTCTGGTTTTGATAGTTTCTTATCTGGCCAATCTAATCAGGGTTTAGTTCCTAGACTACTGCACGATGTCAATGTAACAAATCTTCAATCCACTGAAGCGCCCTCTAGCCAAGCACTGAATTCATTACCACCGAGTGCAACATCGGCTTCTTCTGAAAATGATCAGATTGACCCAACACTCAGTCAAGTATGGCGCCCATATTAAGTATAAGTTTCACTTCCGTGAATAAAGGAAAACCCGAATCTTAAAATGGAAACCGAAACAATGGTTTGTCTTCCACGTCTGTCGTTTCGTAAGAAGGATCTATGGCAACAGGTAGTTCTTTATCAATATTTATGCGGTATGAGGGTCTTATTGTAGATGAAAAACCGATGTTATCATCTTCAAGCAAATAATATGACGCGTCTGGTGACAAAGGGCCTTGGAAATGGTGCAGCTTACCTTATACACAGTCCCTGATGGAGTACAGTCTGTCTTCTGAAACGTAACAGAAGGATGTATGCCATTATTATCACCTCAAGTTTCGGTTCAGTGGATCCTGCTAGCACATCGTGTCAGTTAATACTTTCTTACGTCATATTACACTATTTATTTTAAACGGACTAGCCAGTTAAACAATCGAAACATTATTCTTTACACGTTCAAATCTCGAACTTGAAGAAGCTTAACAGTATTACAAAGATTTAATGACTTCGAAAATTGTTCCAATGTGTTGTGTTTATTTTTTCTTCTATTTGTTTGTGGTCTGCAAGTTTTTATCAATCAAACTGGAGAAAGTGGTGCCACCTACAACCAAAACATTAGTTTCTTTTGTGACCTATCTTCGCGTGACAAAACATATGCAAATTGTTATTCATCGAAGTGGCTCTTAGCAGACACGAAATTACAGATATGTAACTGACAACAATACTGTTTGATCGAGTGTCTGTACAATGTGGCCCGGCATGGCCAGGTGGTTAAGGCACTCGACTCGCAATCTGAGGGTCGC